ACTTGTACTCACTTGGACTTCCCACGGTGAGTATATTCAAATATTCGTAGAATCCGTATCTACTAGTACTTGAACCCAAAACCCGCTCGTGGAGGGTTGGGTGCCTAGACCATTAGGCCGTGGGATCCCAACCCAAGTAACAAGAATTTACTTTATATATATATATACATATTAATAATATTTTATTTTGTAAATACTAGGCTTTTTTTAATACCTCAATCAAAGTATATAAATTCTTTTGAATGTACAATTTGTAAAAAAAAACAGTACAAATCTGCAGCAGGACTTTCACGACATGAAAATGCTAAATATAGTAATTACAATATACCTCCTATTCAATCTTATATTTTGCCAAAAAGTGCTATTAATGAATGGAAAGAAATGCTAGTACATGCTATCTACAAACGACTTCCTCTTGCTTTTCAAAAAACTAGCAAACAAGTAATCAAATTTTCTTGTATAGAAGGTCAATATTTAGGGCTTTTTAGACAATATTTAACGTGTATATTTGTTTATAGAAGAGCCTATAAATGTGTTTTTTTAGAATCTAATGCATATCAAACTATTAGTTCATTATTAGATGATCATTCTTGGGTGTATGACATTATAAATGCAACCAGGTTTCTTATATTGTACTGTTTATTCAAATGACTAATGAAAGCTCAGTTTCAGCTTTAGATGCTCTAATTGCAAAAAAAGCAGCAAAAAAAAAAAAGAGAGAAACAGGATAATGTTAGTAACTCTTCTGCTATAACTTTAGAAAAAAATACAGTAATACAACCAGAATTTATAGTAGATTGGGCCTGAGAAATAATTAAAGATTTTAATGGGCACCAAGTTTCTTCCGGCTATATTAAAATACAAATTTAATCTAGAAAAAAGTTTTTTCACTGACACTAATACAAATCTATATAGCCAATAAAGATTTCAAATTGTAGATCTAATTTTATTTTTTATTTATTTTATGATTATATCATTGTTAAGAATTATTGCATGTAATACCAGCATAGAGGTTAACTTATCTTGAGTTCCTTTAGTTAATTCAACTAAGTCAGTAAATTTATCAGTTTTTGCAACTTATAGGTTTTTAATTGTCCAGGATCACCAATATGTGGGAAGTTATTTTGGCTTTATTTTTTTTATGAAATGGATGAATTGAAATATAATACACAAATTTTATGTAAGATTAATACCCAAAATCTAATAACTTGAGTCATGAAAGGTAATTTTATTTGAAAGTTTTCAATTGTGTTTAGAAAATATAATTATTAAATTTATTATAAAAGATTTTTTATTATTATCTTGGTCAAAATAATTCAGATGGTGTTTATACTGCATTTAAAACACATGTAGGTCTTACAAACTAAAACTTGCATTTTTTGGCGAAGTATTGAAATATCTTTATTATTCATTTAAATTTTCTATTTCTTACTAAGTTAGGCTCTTATTAAGTATCTTCGTCAAGAATATAAAGAGGTTCTTAAGCTGGCATTTATTTATTGTCAAAAATCTGCAGAAATAAAAGATGCTGATTGAACATTTAAAGTTGGATATTGTTATGATGAGGGAATAGGATTTGAAAAGAATGAATGTAATGTATTTATTTATTATCAAAAATATGCAGAGATGGGGAACACTTGTGAAATTCTACTAATCTTGCAAAGTCTAATTCACGTATCAGTATCGGTTAATTTACAAAATTTTGATGAAGCTATCATAGTATTTGACAGCTTTTAAATTGGTAAATACCTTGGCTTGGGCAAAATGAATCATTGAATATAAAAAATTATAATATTCAATTAATGGCTTATTTATGGTTCACTGTTTGTTTTATGATAGATATTTCTTTTTTTTAACTTATTTCTATTTCTAAATATATTTTTTTTGTATTCAGTTTTATTACAATATTAATAAAAAGAAGTCTAATATCACTATCGAAATTTAAAAAATTTTTTCAAGATATACTTTCACTTTTGTTCATTGATCTTAGATATTGATAACAGTTGCAAATCCACCCTTTCTCTATTCTTTGATATTAGTAAACTCATTATAATCAATCCAAGTCAATTTAAATTCCATCGTCTAATATTTTTTTAAGTTCAAGATTGATATATCTGATGATTTATTATTTCAGATTTCAAATATATAACATGTGATTTTTTGAATATAAATGTTAACATATATCTAATAGCTTGAAATTTCTAAAATGATTCCAAAACTGTAGATATCAGATTTTCGTCATGTATAAATTTGAGATTGGCTAAAAGCATTAGTATCTTTTGTTATAGATATATTTTTCAATAAATAAGCAACGTACAGTAGTGTCCATTATTTTTTAATATCAATAGATGAAAATTTTGAGTTTTGTGATATTTGAATGTAAAAACTAAATGTAGAAATTAAAATGATAAATAATAATTTAAATTCTAGTAGTTATATCTATCTAAATGCTTTATTATGTTTGTTGAAATAACACCTAGTTTTGACTACTAAATATCCTTTGGTGTATTGATAAGTGAAATAAGCAAATACCTCAAGAATAGAATGAAATTCTATAATTAGACCACTATTCATGTTAAATTATTTAAACTCTGCATTACTGAAATATTTTCTACTGAGTAGTAAGTATTGTCTGCCCAAAAAGATTTAGTTATTATTCAATTTCATTAGAACGTGTGATATTAATCTTCTTATACTTAGATAATGCTAAACCTTCTTCAAATCGCTAAAAATACAATGCTCTATTTTCATCTTCAATATTTCCAAAATAGCAGACTTTTGAGCACCATTTTTTAAAGTTTTTGAAAAAGAAGTCGACACATGTTGATGATTTTTCTTTTCGCTGGCTGGCAAGAAAATGCGCCAAGCCCCCATTGTGGATGAATATTCAGGAATTCTGGAATATAATAGATTAGAACATGCATATAAGAGGTTATGTCGCTTGGTGTGTACAATCCTTTATTTATTTTATTAGTGTCAGGAATAATTTGTAAAGGTGTTAGAAATACACTTAACCATTTACAAGCTTTGTTACGGAATGTATTTTCTGTTAATTTATTCTGACTCAGCATTTTATAAAGTTCACTAAATCCTGACCAGAGTTTTTGAACTTTTGTAGCACATTCTTGCAGTAACATTATACTTAGATTAAAGTTTTCTATTACTTTTAATTTGTCTGGGCCCATTAAAGAGGTAAATTTCTACTTTTTCATCTCTTGATCTTTCCAGAATTTAAATTTTATGCTGATAACTCTCATTTCATCGCATATTAACTCTCTTATTTCATCTACAAAATGACTATTATTTTTGTATTCATTTAGAGCCAAATCCCACAAATGATCAGTTATATGTAACATCAGGTAAAGCTGATCTACTACATAATGAGTCATTGAAATCATATCCAAGATAGGTGAATGAATATGACCTGGGAACTTTTGATAATTTTTTTTGATTTGATTGATTTTTTTTGTTATTAGCCAATTTTGGTTTAAGTCAATTATTAAATCTTTGGTACAAAAACACTACAGGCAAAAATTAAATGCATTAGATGCATTAAAACCTAACATTATTGCCAGAAATTTCCAATCAGATGAAAAAAAAACTTCAATCTCCCATTGTCTATAATCAGTATCAATAAAACTATTTTTATGTAATTCTTGTAATTTATGCCGAATTGGCTCTAAAGCAGTTTTGAGTGAAGTATAATTTTCAGTTTCAGAAAACAATGAAATTGTACAATGCTTTTCTGGTTTCATTAGATTTTTTTGATTATTTAGAATTGCTAGCGTTACCATTATGTGTTTAATTTTTTCCCAACGTTTCTTCTATCGCCTGAGATTCTCAAATATATTATAGGGGCTTCGTAACTGAGAACTTTATTTGTTACAAGGTTTGGAATGATAAATCGAAGAATTGCACATATATTGCAATAAGCGCCTTTTTCTAATATAGCTGCAATTACTTCACTGTCCAAGTCACTTCCACTATCTGAGTCACTTTTACTATTTAAGTCACTTTTGCTATCCGAATCACTATTTGTTTGTACATTTATATCAAATATTAGCAATGGAATGTGGTTTGCATTATTTCATTTACATCGCTCTTTTCTTTACTAACTAGCCATTCTTTTGGCAAATCCTGTGAAGCAGTTATCAAAGCTCTATATCCTCTTCTTGAAATATTAGATTAATCCATTATTTGAATAATTTTTTGTACTTTTTTCTCTTCTACTTGTCGATCTTCTTTAAACTTTATTAACCATGGTTGTTTGCTTGCTTCTAATACTAATTCTTTAAGTTTAGGATTATCTGCAGGATGCCAAAAATTTTTTTTTTTTTCAAAATCATTAAATAAACTTTCACTCGCTTTTCTAATTTTTTTTCTATGCAAAGAATTACTAAGATCACTAAGAGGTTTAATAAGTCGTGGTTTATTTTTTTTTGGCTCAGCCTTAGTTAATTCTTCATATAATTGTAGTCCAAAAATAAGTATTTCAGAAATTGCTATATTTTTTCCTGAATATCGTACATTACAATATTTACTAGAAGCATCTGAAGGTGAGATTTGTGAAACTACTATGTTATTTTGTTTATTATGTATTCATTCAATCTTATAATGCGAAGCCCCTTCAACATAATTAATAAATGCTTGAACATGATTTTTTTCATTACGCTCCCAAAAGGCTTCTATTTGATAGTCATTAGGTATAGGATATTGTCCTGGACGTTGCATATATTTAAGGTCTAGTTTTGGAGGAAGTGAACCTAAATTTACAATCATATAATTATATTTTCTATTTTGGCTTTTCCAAAGAACTAGGTTATCATATGGATAATTATGATTTATTGTTTCTTCAGTGTTTTTCTTGTTTCGTTATTTAACATTCTAACGTTTTCAAATTAAAAACTTGTAAAAACTCGTAAAAAACACTTGAAAAAAAATTTTTTTTGCTTGTTACACATTTTTTGTGTGATTATAGCAGTTAAATTTAATTCTAAAAAATGTATGTTAACTTTTACTGTTACGCCCATCATTTTCATTGCACTTTAGTTTCTCTAGTTGAATTAGTTTAATAGCATTCACTTATTTAGATATCAAAACCCAGCAACCTAAATTTTCAAAAATATTATAAAATAGGGTAATAGTATTATACCACTAGCTATTCTTCTCATCCTTCTGTTATTTCTGGTCCATGTTGAAAGATAATTGTTTCAAGTTTCACTCTGCTTTCATTGTAGAAAAAAATATATATCATAGACATGTAAATGCAAGTTGAATAATTGTGAGTACTAATTAATGCACTTTGAATATGACAGTATCTGAACTGATAAATCTTTAGCATCTACTCTTGCAAAGTAACATGTTAAATTAATATATTTAAATTCAAATAAATGAGTATACATCATCATGTAAGTTATGAATAATCGAATGAGATGCTAAAAAAATCAGAATCCTAGATAATGAGTAATTTTTGGTTTTCTTAGTAAAAATTACACAGTTTTATTACACGAATAAAATAACATAAAATTATTTAGTTGAGGATGGGTATATAATTAAAATATTGTGGTAAAAAAATATCTAAGTATTATGTCTTTCTTGTAGCAAGGTATTAGTAATAGTTATATACTGGGAGTTGAGTATAAGCAGAAATGAAATTTCTGCTTTTATACATAGTGCCCAGAGTATAACTGATCTATACCTTGCAATCTTGATATAGTGACCAGGATATAATTAAAGTATTAAAAGTGGTATATTAATTATGATTAATGTTTAGAATGGCTTGAGCTGAAATTTGAGTACTCTATTTAAAACTAATAAATCTACTAAAATACTCTTATTCACCTAACACTAAGAGAAAATTTTTATATATAATTGTAGTCAATTCCCATTCTCAGATTCGGCCCCTAAATTAATTAATAAAACACTTACATGCTAGCTTTTTTATTCATGTATATCCGAAATAATAAAAATAAAAATAATAACTCAAAATATATTAACAAATCTAAAATTTTTAGGCTTACTTGCTTACCTACAACATCACCTGCTATTAAAATAAAATAAATAAATTGTAAAATGCATGAACAAGGATAATATTTACAATTTTAGATTGAACATGAGTTGTATTATGTTTCAGTTTAAAAGAGATGTTTACCACTTACATTTTGAATAGTAAAATTTTTTTTAAAAATATACTTAGGTCGCCTTGATAAAGTGCATATTTTTTTTGCCTCATAAATAGTAGAGTTAATTATTAGATCTTTGCGAGCTTATAAAATCTACTGTTATGCTAGAAAAATGTATGCCTTAAAATCCCTACTCGTTAGAGTAAACTGGTAAAGGGTTTGTATAACATTTAATGAGAATACTGTAATGTCTCGAAAGAGGAAATTCGATTTGGCAGAGCCAAATAGATAGTTTATTAATTATGATGTGAAACACTTTACAACTTAATAAATGCTCACACTTATATACTAATTACATATCTATATAATATGCTATATTCGCTATTATACTAACTATTCTATATATGCTATATGTACTAGTTATACTATTTTGGTCAAATCTGCAATTTATGCTAAATCTACTTGATATGCTATTTTTGCCAAATCTGCTACATTTGCTATATAGACTAATTATGCAATGTAAATAATTATGCAATCGATCTACCATTTGTGCCTAATACATCATTGATCCATTCTTAATCATTACACTATGATGAAGACAATCTAGTCCTAGCAAATAAAATTGATGAAATTTAAATTGCTAATCCTTCATCAAAAAAAAATAGTAAACAAAAAAATACTATCTTAAAATGTTAAATCAAAACAAGCTAAACACTTTCAAATTCTTAAA